AAAAAAAATAATGTAAGTATTTAAAATTTGGTGTTTACAAAATTAGTCACAATGATTCTGTATGAGCAGGGTGATTCAATTTGCTCTAATAACAGGTGTATTTCCAAAGCAAAAGAGTTGGTTGTTCAGATTGGGAAATTTAGAAAAGCTGTTGTGAATTTCAATAATGCTAGATTACCTAATGCTTCCTTAGCGTGGTCTCAAATGATAAAGATACATCTTTGGTACAACTTAGAAGAGCAGTGCATGATTGGTGGGTGTGGACATTATGTACCCACCTTATTTTGTGTGCTAAGCAATAATTAGGAAAAGAGGTTCTAGTCTTGGTTTGGGGCAGGAGAGGGATGGTTTTAAAATCAGCTGAGCCATAGAGTGATTTTAATTCCTTTACTATATCTGATTAATACATTTCATTAAATTTGTGTGATGAAAAATAAAACTAAAAGGAGGGTATTCATGTACTTGGAACTTATGGAGAAAAAGCAGAATATAATTGTCATAAACGATAGAATAGCAATTCATTAGGACAATTTGTTTTGATTTTAAAATAAGTCAAAGAAAAAATGCTAACCTTTCAAACTAATTAGTGAGTTATTAACTGTTGGATCTAATAGCTCCTATGGAAAACAGAAGACTATGCAGTATACATAGAATTTAGTATTTAAATAGATTGTTTTATTTCAATATAAGGGTGATTTTTCAACTCCCAATGACTGTATACATACAAATGTTAAAACATCAGTAAAAACCACAAGAAAAGTATTGTTTAAAGCAGTTTTGTTATAATGTTATTATAAAAAGACAAAAAATAATCCTGGCACAGAAGTAGCAACAGAGTATATTTAAAAACATCATGTATCAAGTATCAGATTAAACATTTTAATATTTATTTAAGAATTTCAATATGTATTTTCTTCTTCCAAATCGAAATGCTTTTAGATGAGAAGCTCATGATAGGGTTGGATTTGGAAGATAGTGTAAAATCATTTGTTGACAATTGTCCAAATATGTTAAATATTAAACACTATTTTAATGTCTTCTATTAAATACTATTCTTTATTAAATGCTATTATATATCAGTGGCCTTAATATTCTGAAATCACATATTAAAATATGTGATAGCATGTTAAATGTGAATATCTGGTTAAAATCCATCAATTACATTCATTGTCACAGGTGATCCCAGTCCTCATATAGATAAATCCTCAAATACTGAATAGCTATATATTTTGACAATATTTCATGTAAGTGGCTCACCAGTGTATGGGGCTTTTACCTACCAGAAATCCATCCATGTAATTAAATGATGCAATTACAAATGTCTATTCCAGTTCCTTGCTGAGATGTAGGGATGCTCAGTGGATCAACATTTCCAATACCAGTCTTTTATTATAAAATATTCCCAAAATACCACAAAAAAGTAGAACATTGAATTAGAACACCTAGTCAGTGATTACTTCCCTGTAATGTGTCTTCAGCGAGTCTGATACATCATCCCACAATTGATTAGAAAACCTGACAGAAGTGAACTGTTTTACCTGGCACCAAATACAAGGGCAATCTGGCATCTAATCAATTGCAAATGTGCACCACCTATTGGTCCAAAGAAAATACTAACACTAAATGCACCTTTCTTCAAAAGTATAGTCTGTACTGTCTATTGTAGTACTGTGCTATCTGTACCGGGATCATAATTAATAAGCCTTTTTAAAAATCCTTTAAAACATTGCTAAGTTTACTGAGCTATAAATATGTCCTTGTAAGCATTACAGTATTTCTTTGTTGATACTGATATATATTGGTGTATTCCCTCTTAGATTCTGAGAAGAGCAGATAAAAATGGTAAGTACAATCATTTGCTTTTCTTTCCCAGAACGTAAGTAAAACAGTGAGGGATTTGGAGGAACATTTCATTCAATTGCTTTGGGTTTCCCTAGGGGAGACAGTGGCTGGCTGGTGAACTTGTCACTTCAAAATTACCTGGTTGAGGAGTTTGATCCATCATCACTGGTGACTTTAAGATGTGTGGACTTTGACTCCCTGGGAAATACTGGGAGCTCAAATCCACATGTTAAAGTTGCAAGGTTGAGAAACACTGGCCTAGGTAGCACTGATTATGGGAATCCACAGGGGACTGTGGGCAAGGGATGCTAGGGATACAAATGATACAAGTTGCATAATTCAGGTGTGCAATCATGCCATGCTGCATGCAACATCGTTATAGCTTACGCTGGCATCTATGGTGCCATATCTATGGAGATCATCTGACTTGTTGGCATATATGGTTGAATAGGGATTGTAAATCCATCCAAAGCTCTTTACATATGCAAGCTCTTTTGCACATTATATAAACAAGCTTTATTTGGCTCAAACTTTATTTGCTGAATAAATAACAATGCTGAGTCCATACATCATGACAAGTTATAAAACATGGTTTATAGTCTGCATTTAAATCCTTGGCTTAAAAATATTGTGGCGTATCATTCTGGCAGTAATGTGCACTACTAGGTCACGGAGCATAAATGATCCAGTCATGGGCTGGACAGAGGAGTCTTTCCCTTTGACACATGAGTGTTTCTTGGAGTCTTACAAACAACATTTATACTTAGGCAGGGCCCTCCCTAGGGATTTACACATCTTCTAGAGGTATTTAATCATTGTTGTTCCACTTAAACAGTAATGAGAGGTTTTATGTCACCACAGTGAGGGCCAGAAGGGAAACAGCTTTAATATGAAAATGGGAAAAGCCCTGACTGTAATTTTTTCCCCTCAGATATAGTGGCAAGTATTACAAATTCCCTGTGATGCCAGGAAAAGATACAGCTGCTCTGAAGAATTCCAGACAGGTGCTACATGCTTTGAAACCCCTTTTTAAAACTATTTCCAGTGTCTTCCAATTTCATTGCAACATATGAGCAAAGCTTTTGCCTTTGAAAAGGCTCCACCAGAGAAGATTTCATAGCTGGAGATGCAACAGCTGTGCACAGCTTCCAGCAGTGCTCTGAAAAAACAAGGCACTAAAATCCAATAATTAAGTACTGATGAAAAGCCGAGGAGGGATGGTTTAGAATACCTGATGTTAGTATCATTCATAATATGCCAGAAAGAACAGCTGTGAACCAAATAAGCTAAAAACAAAAAAGGAAACAAGAACTACATTTGAGGCAGAATGGATGAAACCCTAAATAAAAATAATATGAGATTCCTGTTCTTGAACAGATTTTTAGCTGTAGTAAAACAATTGGGGACAACATAAACTGACCTGCTGTTTTAAATGTAGAACTGGCCCAGTTTCACACAGATCTGTCCAAGGAGCTGATGGAAAGGATCTCATCTACATGACAAAAGCCAATTCTACTTTTTCACCCGAAGGGAAAAAATATACAACATATTCATCCTTTATTTCAAATTATTAGCATTGTGCTCTTTCTCTGATGTTTGCGATTTTCCCCCTTACATGGAATTGCATTCAGGGTGTATTAAACTGCATTTAGATTTTACTGCTTTTGTTAAGTAAAAAATTGTAGTTTAATCTTAGGCCTTTTTCCAATTACTATTTTTTACTATAATTCTTTTTTTTACCAATTATCATTTTACTACAAAAACAGTTGCAATGCTATTTGAAAACGGTTTCAAAATCAGTTACAAATTTGTTCAAGGAAATATTTCTTCATTTAAATCATAGACTTTACTATTGATTATCTGGTTGAAATATCAGATATTTAAAGTAAAATTAACAGCACAATTCTATACAGTCTGTTGAGAGTTATAGCCACCTGGATTCACTAGAACATATTTCCAGATCAACGAGTAAAGGATTCTACTATATGCAGGCTTATTGGTAGAAACATATCCAGTCAACATCTACAAGATGAGGCTACAATATCATGATCCATGTCCTTCCACTTCGGCACTTATGTGTAACATCAGGAAATGTTTGAAAGGAGTTTGGATTGTGAAGTGTTTGAAGTTTGAAGTTTATTGGTATTTGTATGCCGCCCACTCCCAGGGGACTCTGGGTGGCTTTTTAAAATTTACACAACATACATACACTTAAAATGGGGCTGGATGCTGATCAACAGCCCCAGGCCTGCTGGAACAGCCAGGTCTTAGT